AGGCACCAGAAATTTTACCAACCCTCAGTGCAAATGTCAATAGTGAAAGAAAGCAAATAACATCTTAGTATTACTATGAAAATAGTTTTGAACTCACAGACCCCCTGAAGAGGGGATCCCCAGAGGTCCATGAAAGGATAATTTGAGAACCACCTCACCGAGCTGATTCCCATAGAAACAACATGCCAATTTAACACTAGCTATCTCAGCAAGAGTTAAATGAGTTTCAAAATTACTCTACATATGATCCAAGTAAGACACAGAGTGCGGAAAGTGACGGGTGTATTCTACCATATTCAGTTTGATTGCTAATCCCAAGTCAGATATTAAAAAATAAAAACTCTAGGAGAATTTTTCCTACAGATTTGATTATGAAATATTTGGCAGGGGGAATCTAATTCAAACCAGCTGCTGGACTCTTGCTGTGCAGCAGTTAGTTAGAACATACTGCCAAAAACCCCCCTTTGGTGAGGCCAGATGAGCTCATGCAAAGGCATTTTAGCAGCTTTTGCCCCCGTAAGTCCCATAAGCACAACACCACTCCATCTTCCACATTGTCAAGTAGCCACACTTTGAATCTTTTTCTCCTCCAGTCAAACAAAGCTTATAGGAAAAGACTTCAAAATGCACATCCTACAAAATCCACAGCACCTTTAAAACCAATGTTTTCCTACCTGTATCATGTATCTGGCTTTAATCTTAAGAAATGTATAAAATAAAAAATAACTAAATAAAATAAAAATCCTCTTCATTTACCACTTTCATGTTTTACATAATTCCTCACCAGCCTGGAATACCAGTTATTAACACACACACACACTCGCACGCATAGCACTATAGTTTCCAAGAACCTGTAAATGTGCAAGCTAATATAAATGGTAACTCATGTTAACTTATATCACCTACCAATGTTCTTTGATTTTTGAACTACAATTAATTCTTATTTACCAGGGACTATCTACTTTTGCAGATAATCAAGGTCCTTAATTTCTTTTCCTTCCCTATGTGTTTATGTGATCAATTTTTCTGTCTCATCCACTCATAAGAACATGTTCCAAAGTATCAGAAATAGAATTAGTGAAAGTGAACATTCAGCCCTTTCTCATTACTCATATAAATCTCAAACCTTCTCTTTCCATCACACTAAAAAGACATAAGCATACCACTCTCTGGCCTTGATTCTCTCTGCGGGATTCCTCCTAGTCTGGTTTCACCCTCTGGTCTCTCTCAACGGCCATACTCTACCCGCCCTGGGAAGCAGAGGATGATGAAGTCCCATTTAATTCTATCATGCAGTGACTTCAACCAACATCACCTGGCCAACATGGCCACAAGGAAAAACTAAACTCCTCATCTGCCTGTCAGCTTTGCTCCTAATCCACTGGTACTTTCTGAACAAGGAATAAAAAAATCCCTGCTGTTACATTAATTAAACTTATTAAGAAACAACGTGTTCAGAGAGCTACAGGCCCCACCCATGTAATTAATAGCCAAGTTCAATTTGCTTGTCTAGGTTGATCCAAATAATACATTTGAATTCCTCACATTTAATATAAAACTTTCACTACTTGTAAAAACTGCTGGGTAGAGCTAAGCTCCTCTTTTAACAACAGCCGAATTAAACCAATTATATTTTTTATATAGATTTCTTCTTTGACATATTTTCACTTAATAATAAATAATAATTACTATTATAATTAAAGCAGCTCACACTTGAGCACTTACAATCTGTCAGGTACTACTGTAGGTATTAACTCATTTAATACTCACACCCACTCCATCTCATTAGGGTCCACTTAAATGGAAAAATCTGTAGCACAGAAAGGCTAAGTAACATGCTCCTAATGACCCACTACAAATGGCAGAATAGGGATTCAAACTCAGTTTATTAAAGACTGGTATTAGTCCCTTCTACTAAATCTTGTTGGTTGTTTTGCTTTGTTTTAATCGCAACAGCTTTATTGAGATATAATACACATACCATACACTTTACCTATTTAAAGTGGACAGTTCAATGGATTTTAGTATATTTAGAGTTGTGCAACCATCACCACATCCAATTTTAGCACATTTTCATTACCCCAAAGAGAAATCCTATATCCACTAGGAATTGCTCCCAGCACTCCCCACACCCCTGGCAACAACTAATCTACTTTCTGTCTCTATAGATTTGCCTATTCTGGACATTTCATATAAATAGAAACATACAATATGATTGGCCTCTCTCAGTGACACCACTTTTGTGTCTGGCTCCTTTCACTTAGCATAATGTTTTCAAGGTTCATCCATGTTGCAGACTATATCAGAACTTCACTCTTTCTTATTGTTGAACCCAATATTCCATTGTATGGATATACCACATTTATCCATTCATCAGGTGACGAACACTTGGGTTGTTTCCACTGTTTGGGTGTTATGAATAATGCTGTTACAAACATTCATGTATGTTTTGGTGTGGACATTAGTTTTCATTTCTCTTGGGTATACAACCTAGGAGTAGAATTGCTGGGTCATATGGTGACTCTATGTTTAGCCTTTTGAGGAACTGACAGACTGTTTTCCACATACACTGTACCATTTTACATTCCCACCAGCAGTGTATGAGGGTTCCATTTTCTCCACACACTAGTCTATGTTTGTTATTATCTGTCTTTTTATTTATAGCCATCCTAGTGGGTGGTAAGTGTTATCTCACTGTGGTTTCAACTTGCATTTCCCTGATGGCTAATTATGTTAAACATCTTTTCATGTGCTTATTGGCCAATTGTATATCCTCTTTGGACAAATGTCTATTCAGATCCTTTCCCCATTTTTTTTCTTTCTTTCTTTTTTTTTTTTTTAAAGATTTTATTTATTTATTTTTCCCCCCAAAGCCCCAGTAGATAGCTGTATGTCATAGCTGCACATCCTTCCAGTTGCTGTATGTGGGACGCGGCCCCAGCATGGCCGGAGAAGCGGTGTGCGCCCGGGATCCGAACCCGGGCTGCCAGCAGTGGAGCGCGTGCGCTTAACTGCTAAGCCACGGGGCCGGCCCCCCATTTTTTTTCCCATTTTATTAGTGAGTTGTAAAAGTTCTTTGTATTTTCTAGACACAAGTCCCAGATTAGATACGCGATTTGCAAGTATTTCCTCCCATTCTGTGGGTTGTCTTTTCACTTTCTTTATGGTGACATTTGAAGCACAAAAGTTTTTAATTTTGAGGAAGTCCAATTTATTTATTTTTTCTCTCGTTGCTTGTGCTTCTGGTGTCATATCTAAGAAAGCTCTGCCTAAGGTCATAAATATCTACTCCCATATTTTCCTCTAAGAGTTCTAGGTCTTAAATCTTATTTATATCTTTTCCCTAGCTGCAAATTAATACCACACTGATAGTATACACACAACCACCCCATTTCCTTCTTTAGTACCAAAGGGCTTTGGTGGTTTAGGCCCAGTCTAGTCTATGGCCAGAAAGTATTTGTTTATCGGGTTGTAATTTCTAGTATTGAACAAAGGCTCATCTATGTCACAGGTTTCTGCTCCACCTCTCCGGTGACACACAGTTAAGGAAATGTCTAAGGATAAAACTACCCTCTTTGCACTCTACGATCATAACTAGAGTATAAGCTTCTTCCATAAAATTTAAACTTAAAAGATCTATATAGTCACATTGATAGGCTCTAAGTCTTTCGAAAATGTAAATTTAATTGCTGTAATTATAACTACTGAGACACGTCCACATGTTTTCATAGGATTCCTGTCATGCTCCCAATGTAACCATGACAGAGAAACTATAATTTAAAAAATAGAATTTAACTCAACCGAAATTTATTGAGGGCCTACTATATGCAAAGCATTATGGAAAATGCTGAGATGACTAAGTCATAGTTCATGACCTCATGGAGGTTATAATTTAGCGGGGATAAAAAAACAAAACAGAGAAACTGATGGTTAAATTCAGTCTTTCTGCAGGACTCTTACGTCCTGAAGGAATTAATGAGGGCACATCTCCCTGATTCTGAGGCTCAACAAATCCTTTATATCTATTCTGTGATCTAGGTGCTCCAGCTCTAAATTAGAGAAACTCCTTTTAAGCTATGTGAAAATTATATTTTTGTAAAAAGAATGATATATGTAAGAGAAGTTGGCAAGCTGAAGGAAATCCTATATAACATGAAAGTCTTCCTATAACGTAAAGACTACTCTTCCTCACGTGAATCTTTATCTGCTCAAAGCAGAACCCCCCTACACTGTTCCCTGTGGGACATACCAGATGGTTCTATCATTTAGCTTTTTTGACTACCAAATACTTTTCTGTGGGGCTCCTTTTTAATGTGTAGTTTTTTTAGTTACATCAAAACCTGATTCTTTTTTAAGCCCATATAAAACTGAATGTGATTATGTTTTCTAGTTTTGCTAGATAACTAGTTTCTAGTTAGCTCTTAAGAAATCTTGGCCCCCAAATCTACATTTCTCTATTCTTTTCCCTTCCAACTCCCCATATCTGGCATGTTAGAAACATCCTGTTGCTTCAAGTCAAATCAATGTTTATTTGATAGAATCAAAATTACGTGCTCTTATACTAGAAAGAGAAGTTGAAGAATATGTTGGCTGAGTTGTGTGGTTTATCCACAGTACCACATTCTGGTTTAAATGATTTCATCACTCAGTCAAAACGCTGCCACAGTTTCAGTGGTTTTCTAGTCACGGTCAATAAAGTAAAGGAAAAAAAACACTATTTACTTATCTTCATGACTAAGCAAGTCTTGAAGGGAGCTAATGTTAGGAAACTGTTTCAACAACTTAAAAAATACACACAAAAATACTAATGACAGAAACCATTTATTCTGAGCTAAGAGCTGCAAAATAATAAGACTGTGGAAGAAAAGTTTTTGTCTAAATCAACTACATAAGTTACTTAAATGCTATTTTAGGCACCTAAGATATTAGAATTCACTTCAAAATTCTTTAGTAGATTTAGAGTAGGAAAGACATTTTATTTTTTTTGTCTTTAGTCTTACCTTGTGGCAACAAGAGGGTAGCTATGACATGGTGATGCCCAGGCATCCCTTGTCCACGGCATACAGTCATAAAGTAGCAAATCCTTTTCAGTCACAGCCATGAGGACAGGTCTCCATTGTTGTCTTCCACCATCTAGTTTTGCCTGTTACAATGGTGAAATCCAGAAAGCAGAGCTAACTATGATATGTAATTGTAAAAGTCCCTTCAGTGATGGCCTAACATAGTGGGTCTCCACTTTATTTCCCCATCCCAACAGTCTTGAGAAACAGGAAATATCCCATCAGGTTCCTTCCCACTGGCAGGGATTCTCCACTGGGAGGTATGAGGTGGATTGTGTAGTTTGAAAAAGCTCTCTCTGAGTTATAAACACTATCTAGCGATATGACAGTTTTTTCCCCATTCCACAATAACTAATTATCACCAACTCTAATTAAATACATAGTAATCTGTTCAAAATGATAATTGTTTTAATATATCTGATGTGGGAGTGACATCTTCTAAGTACAGGATAGAAACACAAAATTCTACTACCAAATAAGTCTGGATAATCTAAACATCAGTGTTTTTCAAATATTTTTGATCAAGACCTACAATAAGAAATACATGTTACATTGCAACCCAATACACACATATATAAATAACTGAATAAAACAATTTCCAAAACAACATAATCCTTTTATATTTTGTGCAATGTATTCTGATAATTTCTATTTTATTTTAACGCTGATCATGACTCACTAGGTTGTATTTTGGAAAAGTGATATAAACTGTTGTCAAAGAGTTCCCCCATTATACTTTAGGAAGTTTAAGTTTCAGTTTCAAATGTACCATTGCATTTACTTGCATAAAGCTCAGTTATCTCTGTGAGGGTTTAAAATGTAGGAAAACAACCACTATTTATCCATATTGTCAAGGATTCAAGGCCAAAAAGCAAAAGACTATGTTCAAGAAAAGCCCTGGTATCATCAAAACGTTTGCCCTCATGAAATAAGATCTTTGAGCAGGGAACGCTTAACAACAGCGTATTTTAACACTGATCCTTCAGCTCACTATCACTTGGCTTCAAGGAGAATTCAAATTAATGAATCACTTGTCTCTTAAAGAGCTGTCATCAGAGCCGCTTTTTACTTTCTCTTACTTAACGACTTCTGAAGGTAATTTGGATATGTCAGAGCACCTTAAGAATACATCTATAATCCAAATAGTGGCCTGAGTGGTTCAGTTCTGTGTTGTAACATCTACCACCAGGACTCTTTTCTCCACAAGCTGATTCTAGGAGTGAGAAATGAATTCCAGCCAGTGAAATGAGTCTTGTTCTACCATGTGCTGAAAGCACAAAATAGATGACCTGACTGAGAATTCAAGCAAAGTATTGTAGAAATAATTAGACTTTTCTTATCGGTGAACACGTTTTCTAAGATTCTGTGTTAGTCTATGGGTAACTCTAATATCTGGAGGGAGAATATCAGCTTTAACGAGGTTCTCTTGGATTCTTACACTTTTAGATACCCTAGAGGGATTTCTAGTTTGTGCACACTCCTAAGTTTTCTTCTTCAAAATTGTTATGGATAACATTTCAATGGGGAAATAATGTAAAATCTATCTTCCCAAAGGGTTAAAATGATAATCTGATTTTTTTTAATCAATTTTTTCCTCAGTTTTAAGAGAGAGATTTTGAACACTAGATCAGACTATATGCATTTAGAACACCTAAATTAAATGTATTTCTTCCCAAAGAAGATATTTTAGGCTCTAAAGGAAAACTGCTAATGCCAACAGAAGCAATATCCGATTTCAAGAGAGAGAACTTTTTGTTCAATTAACAATTTTTAAAAAGTCTTCATTCTTTAGCTCTTTTGAGTCCTTAGTTTTTGGAAAATATCTTTTCCCTCTTCTACTTACCATTAGAGACAAATGAAACCTCAATTTAAGTCATTCTGTTTGCCTATTTGCCTTAACTTTTTTTTTTTTTTTTTAAGATTTTATTTATTTT